TCATCACCTACCATCCGGGGCTGATACAATGGGCCAGTAGTGGCCGACGTACCAAGTGGACTCAGTCTCACCCCACCCAAAAATACTAAAAAAAAAAAAGAAAGAAAAAATATTTAAATAGAAACCAAAGAGGAGATAGAAGTTTGAGAAGACATTTTGGACGACAGGAAGATTCTGTATTGTACATAATATCAGTAACATGTCTCAACGGGCTTGGTACTGGAAAGAATAATGACAGAATACATGTAAAGCCCAGGTATAGGGTCCGCTGCTAAACCCAGAACAAGGCGGATGGAGCTGCGGTGTGATCTTCGAGCTGCAGTGCCGGGCGCCGGGAACTCCAGGCAACTAGGAGCCCAAACTAAGGAATGGCGTGAGACCTTTAGGATGGGTTAGGTTCATAAAGCGAGAGTTATGAAGTCATGCACATGCGTTCGGAACAACGAGTCCTACGAAAAACCTGTTGCATGTATTGGCTCTACTCACACTTTTTGGTAATGTAGCAAGAAAATTGTAGCCCTTCTCGGGCTGGAGGCTGTTTTTTGCATCTCTGATGTTGATTTACATTTATTACAAATGCAAAACTGTTATCATTAATACAGTCAAAACTACAGACATTATTAGACGTATTAGACCTCTACCACAAAGAAAAGTACTGACCTCATCTATCTATAGTTCTACAGTTCTTCGTCGGACCTTGGCCGCTTTTTCAGTTTCTTAAGCTTTACGCAGTCTGTGGGACTCCTTGGACGGGGGATTAGCCGTTGCAAGGCCACTACCTACACAGAGCAACATAAACATAGAATAAACGCACACAGACATCCATGCCTCGAGTGGGATCCAAACCCACGATCCCAGCTTTCGAGTGGGGGAAGGCCGTTCATGCCTTAGACCGCGCGGCCACTGTGAGCGGCGTACTGAAGTCACGGTAAAGTGATTATAATCCTGCTTCGTGTTCGGGAGGTCCCATATTCAAATCTCGGTACCGAAACCGAGTTTTCCGATTGATATGGTTTTTCATTCCATGTAGGCCAATGCGAAGAAGTATCTCAAGTCACTCTACGACCGCTTTCTTCCACATAATTTCCAATTAATTGATCATCCTACCAGCCCACCCTACAGGCCAGCATTCTGGGCTACTGACAGCTTCGTTAAAGGAACCATAAATAAGTAAACACAGAAAAGCGCTTTCAGGTACAATTTGAAGGTCACTGAGTTCCCCGCAATTACGGAACGGTGTTCAAAAAAGAATTAGGTTTATCGTGAGTCAGTTACATATCTTCTCGTTTTCACAACCCCTTCCCCTAAGATCTCATCTGAATCCAGGGGTCTCAAGTGATTTCTCAAACCCCTTCTGACAAAAATTTGGTACGCATATTTTATCTCTCATGCGTGCTGCATGTCATACCTGTTGAATAATCCTTGGACAGAATAGTAACCGTTTCAGAGCAAAACAACTCGTCACTGTGCACTGGCTAAAAATGCGCCTTATCAGAATTGACGTTCCCATAGCAGTGAGTATCTTATGGGGTGAAATTTAATGTAGTCTGGTTGAAGTTGCCGACGTTTCGGAGGGAAATTCTGCTCAAACTTAAGGGTCAAAGAGTAAACTGAGAGAATAAGCAAGCAAGTAAACTGCAAACAGTGCATCCTGCTTTATCCCTTTATTGTTCGCCCTGAAGATGGAGGCAATGAGCTCCTCAGAAACGTCGGTAAATTTCTGTCACACTACAAGGCATCACATTCAGGGAGACGCTGTTCTTTAGGCATGCTCCTCTCTACTTAGCAGGTTCAGGATTCGGTTCTCTGGCAGGAGTCCTAACGTAATATAAAGTCTTTTAAATTGATAATTCCTTTATAAACGATCCAATGAACAAACAAAATAGCTCAATAAAGGTGTTCCACCTTTCCGTCCGGCTGCGGCGCACAGTGGGATACTGCGTGGGCAGTTTCATCTGGGTTTTCCTTCTCTCCTTTTAGAGTACGGGAAATAGGATGTAACCGGAATGAAGCTAAGCTTACTGACGTAGCTGTGACGTAGTTTGCACCTAATACGCTCCGTTTCATTCAGCTCACATTGCGCATCCGTTGTGTACAAATATGCCATTATGGGCCTCTCGTTCAAAGGATACCGAGATTGTTCAGTGCCAGATGCAAAATCTCTTACACATGTCGAAGATATCGCCTTTGCCAGAGGCTAGAATTTAGAAGATTATTGTGGCTTATTTTAAGGCATTATTACGCCACTTGTCAGAAGATACTGGGGATTCAGTAAAGGTAAAGAGCTAGCCCTCTAATAGTCCGTGAAGGCCACAGGGTTGTGAGACGTTGAGGGTTCTGTATTATCTAGATAATCTGCTCACAGATGGCGGTGAGGTCATCCTAAAGCGCCGGCCTCCATTTACCCCCAGGAAGATTCATGGTACTCGTTTCTGTTAGAGGCTGAATCGGCCCCAGGGTCATAGTGCCGCTGGAAGGATTAGGTAAATTGAAAAAGATCCACCTCATGTGGACTCGAACCCACGACTTTCCGACTAGTAGCATATTGCCTCAAACAACTACGCTACCGTGTGCTCCCACTGGGGATTTAGTGTAACTGGTAATTCGGCCAAGATTCGAAACAGATACGTTTCGAATGCACGTCTATTATGTTACTGCTCCTGGGTCGTCTGAGGCTAATATTACGTCGTAAAAAATAGTTGTTTCGTAATTCATTTAACTACGTTTTCTCTGCTACTGAAGTTATAAAACGTGGAATTGACGATGGCTGCAGGTGATGAACTCTGGAGATTGTAGAATTATATGGTTTATGCCTTTTTAAGATATATCTAAAAATTATTTGGAGGGACTGAGGATATCCAGGAAAGATCTGAAGTAATATATACCCCTTCTGACTCATGAATCATATCCCAGTCGCAGTAACCGAATAAAGTGTTGTTACTTCTTCAGCTGACGGATAGAAATATGTCACAGGCCAGACTCCGGCCGTGTTCAGATAAAAAAAAAAAGGCTTCACACACGTCACAGCTCGAACTCTCGGATCCTGCCGCGGTTTGTAGCCCACGTCAAGCTGCACGCCCTCTCTTGCAGGCGTTATCTTATCACTGCTATTAGCGAAACCTGTCTCACGTTTGCTCCAGCTTTAGGGCTGGATTTCTTGCTTTTGAATTCTCGAATAGAGACCGAGGAAGTCGATATGTTCATTTATCATTTTTTTTTCAGTAATTGATGGCAAGGTGTGTTCCAATTTTAATGTAGTGCACATACTTTCTCTTTGCAACCCTGTGTATTATGCTTCTCAGTGTCATTTATGATCACTGTGTAAGCCTATAATAATGCTTTGAAGCATTGCATAGCGTCGTAAATTATTTCTGAATTTCGTTAAAAATTCATTATATCGAAAAAAATTTTAAATTAAAGGTTGTAGACATTGATGAGATCTATATTTATGTTTCGGGCGGGGCCCCGATTGGCCTTTTTTAGCTGAATCATTTTCCATTAAAGAAAGAAATCTGAATAAATAAATGTTCTCTTTGACATAGCAATGGCTTACTGCAATAAACTTCCTCGAACAATACGCATGCGTCAGAAGTCATACGACTACACATATAGACAAATTACTGACACTGAATCCGTCACAAAATATCAAACACACCACTTATAAACACGCCGTAAGACAGCGTCAGATTCGTATAACCTTCTCTAACGATACACAGAACAATAACTAATTATGCATAGAAATTATTAAGATAGAATTCTTAATACAATGTTATATTTACAGGGGCCAAACAAGATCTGAGTAATTCTACAATCATATAAAATTCACATTCACACTTCACTGGCTTGTATTACGGCAATTTTAATATCATAAACATTTTATGTATAGAGATATTTTAAATAATTCATATTAATATTAATCAACTTATGTAAATTTACTTTTATAATTGGATACCCCAATATGTGGCCGAAACATATCTGGCCTTCCGATTATTATTAACAAAAATTAGGTTCCCTAAATCGTATTTGTTATGTTTAATGTACGGTATCTGCAATATTATTGTATGATGTTATGGTGGGATTGTAAGTGGAAGTATATTCTTTACAAAAAGCAGAATCAACTTTTCCGCTCTCGAGGCAAGTTCAAGGACTTGAACCCCTTTCCTTTCACTTAGGTTGGAAGAAAAATAAGTGAAACTGTGGTTAAATCCCTTCCTACCACATCATCCGTGATCTTCACATCCTAGTGACCCCTTCATTCGAAACAGCGCTATTAAATAACATACTCTTCTTACTGTGATCCCCTGATGAGGACCGATGTGTGGGATTCCCACTGCGCCTCCCCTAACAAGACATCAAAAGGTAATGCCCAGCAGAAAGGACCTGCAGGTTAACGTGATCTCTTTGCTAACGTTGTCAATGCAAACTAATTGAGTCTTAGGCGTACGAGTCTTTGTTGAAAAGTTGATAGTTATTCCAATGATTAAAAATAACCCCTGCTGTTATGCAACACCATGTTCATAGAAGTCTATCACTGGACATTATCCTAGTCCAGTAGAATGCAACCCCAGACTTATACTCCATAGCCCTAACTTTGAGATTCATTGCAGTATTGTCCTCGTATCGAAAATCTCATTTGAATTATTATGACCCTTGTTTCATATTAGGGAGTTCCCGATTCGATTCTTGGCTCATGAGTCTGTTATCCTGACCGAGGTTTGTAGTGATATTTCCCAGTTCCTCCAGGTAAATGCTGGAATAGTACTGCTTTCTTCCATATTTTTCCAAGTTCATCTTCATAATCGCCCTCCCAGCGGCGCTTCGTAACCTTTACAGCTGAGGAAGCATCATTAAACGAAGAAATAAAAAATTTTAGGCTTTAATACCCCATTAGGTTCCGAAGTAGTCTCGTTTCTTGAGGTTTTCCATTCAAAGTTATTTATTTCTTCCCCATTTACCTGTGCACTGTCTGATGTTCATGTAGTTATGGGTGTTTGTTGCAGGTGTGATAAAACCCCTGGAATGTGTCAAGGATGACGACAGAGGTCGCGGGGAACCCGTTGGCGGGCCACACGGTCCTTACAGCCCGCCATTACGAAGCGGGTCCACCAGCCAACGCTTCACTCGACGTTGTAAGTATTCTTTCTTTCATTTAACCATTTCATTGCTATTCTGTAACAACGTAACAGCTTTGTTCGGTTATTATATGAATTCAAGGGTGCAACAGTTAGTTTTAACAATGGAAGAATAGTATTTTGCTTTTAAAAGAAAAACATAGATGCGCGTTGTGTTTGAAGTAAAGAAGGTTGACTGGGAAGCTGTGTATGATTTATTGTTTACTGTAATCGTCATGTATGTTGTGCTTAGTGACTAATTGCACTGCTCTCTGGAACTCATTTGTACAACTGTAAAGTGCCTGAAACCCAAGTCAGCGACATAATCCATGTTAAAGAGACAGTTGTTTCTCTCACAAAACATAACCTCCTTCGAAATTAATACCCATCGCCTTCTAGGCCGGCTACCGTGCATAGGAAATACAATAGAACGACCACATCACGCTCAAAATAACCAATAAAACAGATGGGAACGTTTTAAATGTAGCAGGGAGGCTACCAACCAGTATGACAGTTAACAAATAGCAAGTTCATCCTCTTCTTTATTTGGTATTCACGTGTGTGGCTACCTTAACACTCCCCTCGCCTGAAGCAAGCCAGATCGTTTGTTCTGGAGAAGCCTTAACACCCGAAACATAAGCGTAGATCTCATTAATGAACATGGTAAATCGCTGTGTAATTATTGTACAAAGTAGAAGTCTCGTATTACGAGAAGCTGGTGCGTTTAACATGTAATCTGTAAGCGGTGTTAGGAATAAATCATATGTCACTTTCACCATAAAAGTCGTGAGAACAGAGGTACGTCCATCTGGCGAGATTTTGCTGAATTGTTACACAACACGCAAGTGATCACTAGCGCCATCAAGTGGCAGCAATGGGAACGTTTTGTTTTCGCTACGTAATTTTCCAACACCATTAATGTGATCTTTTTCTGTAACGCCCTTCCTTTGCCTTGTTGCTATGGATTTATTTATAGCTTACTCAATTACACTTTCACTAGCTCGGATGACATTGCGCCGAATGATGGAATGACCAGTAATTAATGAATTGGAAAGACGTGAAAGGGAGCGGTTTTTGTAATATCCCAACATTTGTCTAGAGGCACTGAGCGAAACAGCAAGAAACATGAGTTGGGATAGTCAGTCATCGGGGTGAAATTTGGTTCTTACTTGGACGGAAGAACATAATTACGACTACGCCCGACTTGAAAAAAAAAAACGGCCAAAGAAAATAATTGTATTTGGAGAAAAGTATTAATGCTAAATGTGAAATTTTGGTCATAACATACGAGTATCTAGGAATAACGTATTTTAGGCAACTTCCTTAATTTTCGTGGAGTAGTCAAATCAGGATGTAACGATGAGTTGGTCATGGATCTCACATGTGAATAAAACTAAAAACAAGACATGCCAAACAAGCTGAAGCAACAAAACAGCCTTAACGAAGCAATAAAAATAAATTGAGAAGACAAATTCATACAGAAGTTTGGTGAGAAAAACTCTTGTAAAGGAATCACTTGAAGACGGGGAAGCACTTAAGAGAATCACAGGCGAAATTATTGTGAGAATGAAGACGAATGGAAGTTGCGGGATTTGGGCCTATTAGCGTTGTTTGAACTGCAAGTTCTCCAACCACTGGGACAGTCATTTATATTATCTTCCGGTTTTTATAACAGGTAGTATTTTTGACCAGGAAGGCTAGGATTGTAGAGCTGACGAGTGTGTAATATTTGTCTGTACCTTCAGTAGCTGATAGGCTGCAGCGTCTGTGAAGGTCCACCAATCAGTAATCCGAGAGCGTGTAGGGTGTGGGTCGCACAGAGTCCCGTAGGTTCTGCCGAGTAATGCAGCAGTAACGCTCGAGACATTTTCTAGAGGTATACAGATCAAATCTCGGTCAGGTACCGGTTTTATCGATTAATATTGATGGTTTTCCCCAGTCATTTCAAGCGAATACAGAGAAAGTATCTGTAAAAAAGGCCATGTGACTTCCTCCTTCCAAACCCTTACCTACTCAACCTTGTTCCCATCTCATTCAAAGCTGTAGCTTCTGTAGTTAGTTACTCACGTCGTTTAGTAACCTGCAAAATAATTCGAATGGGGTACCAGGAGCTACGTACTGAATGCCTAGGCCGCCCCATAGCTCAAGCGGTTAGTCGCTGGCTTCCCACCGCGGCGGACCGGGTTCAATCCCGGGTCTGGTCAAGTGGGATTTGTGGTGGACAAAGTGGCGGTGGGGCAGGTTTTCTCCAAGTACCACGGTTTCCCCTGCCAATCTTCATTCCATAAGTTGCCCCACAATCACACTCACCTATCATCTAGGGCTGGTACAGTAGGCCAGAAGTGGCCGCAGTACAAGGGACTTAGTCCCACCCCACTAGCAATAAAATAAAATACTGAATGCCTAATAGTTGAGGCGCTGATCACAGTGGCCGCGCGGTTTGAGGCATGAACCGCCTTCATCCGCTCGACGACGGGGATCGTGGGTTCGAATTCCACTCGAGCCATGGATGTCTTTGTGCGTTTATTCTGTGTTTGCGCTGGTCTGTGTGTGGGTAGCGGCCTTGCGACGGGCCGATCCCCCGTACAAGGAGTCCTACTGACTGTGTATAGATTAAGAAACTGAAAAAGCGGCCAAGGTCCAAAAGGGCTGCATAGCCATAGGTAGATAAATAGATAGAATTGTTGAGTTAATCTATTGCTTCATGCTATAAAAAGTTGTTTCGCTGCTTGTGAGCTCAGGGTAAAAATAACGACGAAAAACCTTGAAAATAAGAAAAGGAAAGAAATCAAAACAAACCGAGAAACCTGTTGCTACGTACTTGAATGGGATGTTACTCCCCGCAGGAGTGCAAGTCCTTGTCAGTGAAGTCTGCGAAAGAGAGAAAGGGAGACAGAGAAAATAAGAGTAAGAGAGTAAATGTGTAATAATCCGACGGTCGTTAGTGCTGCATACTGCATTGTGAGAATTTCATTCAAACAGTTTTTACGCTATGGATTCAGTTTTATAAGTTATACATAAAAACAATTGTTAACGTGCGCGTCAAAAAGTAGAACATATCTAAGAAAAAATCTAAGGTGAACGAGAGAGATTGGCTGAAAATTTGTAGTCCCGAAATATCAATAGACCTAATCCGTGATGCTAAGAAAATTACAGTAACAAGTAAAAATTTTGTTCATAATCATCCTAAGAGGAGACCCAGTTTTTTGTTAAATGGACGCTACTGTCAAATTCAAGAATTGTTAATCATACCCTCTGCACAAATCTGTCTACCTACCTATCTACCTACCTACATACCTACCCGCCTGCCTACCTACCTACCCGCCTGCCTGCCTACATACCCGCCTACCTATGGCTCTACAGCCCTTTGATGGACCTTGGCCGCCTTTTCAGTTTCTTAAACCTATACACAGACGGTAGGACTCCTTGGACGGAGGATAATCCCGTCGCAAGGCCTCTCCTTACTCACAGGACAACACAAACACAGAGTAAAGGCACACAGACATCCATGCCTTCAGTGGGATTCGAACTCTCGATCCCAGAGTTCGATCGATAGAAGACAGTTCATGTCTTAGACCGCGCGGCTACTGTAATCGGCCTCATCAGGAATATATAGGCTAAAACATACGTGGTAGTCATTAAGTTCGTGGAATATGGTTTTATCGCATCATTACAAGGTATTCACATACACTTACACAGATCCACATCGGCCCTCAAAATAGTTGCCGTTGGCCGCTATGCAAGTCTGCCAACGTTGTTATAGCTGCTGAAAACATTGCTGAAACATATTGGCAGGAAATTCCCATACGGCGCCTCTTGAGGCATTGACGACCTCCTCGGACGACTGAAATCTACGACCACGTAGCTTTGCTTTCAAGCGCTGAAAGAGAAAGAAATCGCACTGTGCGAGATCAGGTGAGTACGGAGGGTGTGGCAAAACGGTGACCTGTTGCCTTGTCAGTTCCTCTTGGATAAGAACAGCCAATTGTTCCTACGCCAAATATTTCACTAGGGGATTTGCCTAGTTTCTGGCAGAACTTGATGTTTGCCCGTTGTTCAAACTACCACATTTTCGATTTCCGCCACTTGCATTTAACTGCTATTCACAATAGAGGTCGTAGTTCTACTTACACTGTTTGCACACAACTGCCTCTTGCTGTGACGAGAGATGAACCGACAGGGCATCATATCGTGCCTCAACCTATCCGCTGTAGTGCACTGCAACGACGCTTTGCGGTCATTCCACGAACTTATTGACTGTGGTAGTTTAACCACAATTTGAAATGTTGCTTCATATCGTTGTAAATTTGGCCGTTTATAAGGAGAGATTGTTACTGCAGGCCCACTGTATTTAACGGCTTTGTTAAATTTCCAGAAAATAATATAGGGTTTTTTATAATTACTAGCCTAAAACCAATAAAAATTTCGACGACAAATTTTTTTAATTCCCAATTTCATATTGGTCACACTGTGCTTATCTCACCGAATATTCCTGCTACATACTCGTACTTGAAAAGTTATTGGAGGCCATCTGTGTGCTAAAGACTAAACTTTATAGCAAGGCAATGGGCTCTCAGGAGTCCTGATATCCAAAAGTGCGATGTGAACTTTTACGGCGAAGGTGCACATAATGAAGTCGATTTAAATTTACTTTCCACTGCAGTTTACTGCTGCCATTCTCTGCCCTTGTGCGTACGTACTACCAAGGTTGCCTGTTAACATGCAAGATGAACATGTGTAATGACGGAATATCAAGCATTAGCCTTTTATGTATATTGTTATGTGTCACAGTGATTAAAGACGGAGTTCGGATTCGTAGTTGGATTTACTGGATACTTACAGGTCGTAACTTCAAATAATTATAACATTGTTACTGATTTTCATACTACAAAGCACTCCAAGCTAATCTCTTCAGTCTATCTCCACTAGTCTTCACGAATTTATAACACAGGAACTATAACATTCTCAGTGAATTACACATAAATAAATCTTCTAATCACTTGTTAAGTCTTCACAGG